CAGCGGGTCAGGGTGCCATCTGCTTTCCAGCGTGCAGCCGCCTGCACCAGCGGAAAGCCAAGACGGGGTGACACGTTTTTGGAGCTGGGGTAGGGCCCAGGAGCCCTCATCGCAGAAGGCCGGGGTGTTTTCCATCAGCGGAAGCGCTCACCTCTGATTTTGTGCCTTGTTGTAGGTGCAGGAGGGTCTCCCATCACAGGGATGGGGGCATGAGCCCGTCACAGTGTTCATTTCTGCAGGGCGGATGGGTCCAAACGTCTGCAATGCTGCCCGTCTTCCTCCCTCCCACCCCATTTATAAATCAGAATATTTCCTATGACCCCCATCAGTGCAACTGCATGGATCTAAGGTCACTCAAGCTCATTTTCCTCATTTTCCCTATGGAAAATTGCAGCTGCAACAATTTTGGCTAGGAAAATCATGATTTTACAGCACTACCTTGCAAATCAGCAGTCCTGGAGGCCCTTACACAGGCAGCTTTTATCACTGGACCCCATAAGTGATGTGCTGTAATAGCCAACACCCCACGAACACGGTGTGAGCGGCAGCTCAGCCACCTGCACAGAGCAGGGCAGCTCACGGCTGCATCCAAGCAAGTCTCAGACTTCTTACCTAATGCACAAGCAAAGAAACTATTAGGGAAAAATACACTTACACCAAAAAAAAAAGCCTTCTTTTTCTTTTTCTTTAAAAGAAGAAAACATAATCTGTGGCAGACAAAGCTTAGACCCAAAGGCGGCCAAATCCTTGTTTTGGGACAAAGGGAGGAGTTTAATACAGAAAATAAAAATTGTGGTTATGTGTTAATGTCAAGCTGTTGCCACATACTTTCTTCCACTTTTCCTTTGAGTAACGCACTGCAAAAGACAGATTTTAGCAACAAGTGCAACTGTAATATCCTTAGTGAAAAATTAAAAAAAATACAATCTGACCGACTTCCATTTCATACTAACAGATTTCAACACTTGCTTGCCACACTGCCTATTACTCATTGCCACTTCTTAAAAAGAAATTACAAGTTGTAACCTGTTCAAGCGAATAGCCGAATCACTGCTCAGTGTTCCTGCCTCTATGACCGTGAGCTCTTTTATGGCTTCCTCCGATTCTTCGGTATTTACCGTAGCTCAATACGTCACACGCTGACTTGAGGGAAGCTCCCCAACTTTGGTACCTCTCTTGAGATCAGCCATAGGAAGCCACGATGCTCTAACCTCATTAATCACACGGCCGGATTTCCTTCCTTTCTCCTCCCAGTCTTCGCTCCTTCCTCTCGTTCTCCCTTCCCACTTTGTTCCTTTTGAAGTTATTTGTGGGGTGTAGCTCACTCCGAGCCCTTCCTCACCAGCAGGCATCCACTCAGCTTTTGAAGTTGACGAGTTGCCTAAAAGAGCAGAGAAGCATTTCAGCATTCACAGGATGCCTGACCTCCTAACACAGAATTTCCTTTCTAAAAAGGTACCAAAACAGACCCCACGTAGCAAAAAGCCAAATCTTGTTTCAGGACAAACCTACCCTCCATGCAATAGGGAAGGGATGCAGCAACCTCAACCCCATGGCTGCTCAGCAACGTGGCTCAAAGCTCACTGACCACCCTGTCAAATCAAAACCAGATATTGAGTAATATACTAATTATTGATTATTGGCATTTTTTGTCTCATAGGCTGGATGACTTGGGTTGCAGTTGGTGTTGATCATCTTCTCACGCTGCCGTGACTGTTGTTACAGGCAAGAACCGCTACGCTCAGCTGCAGGGAGCTCCAAAACGGTCCCAGCACAGGCAGAAAAAGCCTCTCGGCCTCCCGAGAGGAGCCAACTTTTCCAAAAGCACTTTGCTATAATTATACCAGTATTCCGTATATTCTACTAAGCCTATGTTACCAGGAATGCAGCTTTTCACAACCCACTGGAGATGTGGGCAAATACCAGACACACATCATTCCTCTCCCAGCCGCAAGGGAAAAAAATCTGCAGCACATAAAACCATTCCAACCAAGGTACAAGATCCCTATGTCTGTATTTTTTCCAACCGATTTCAGGCAACGCAAGAGCTCACCCCAGCGCACAGCAGCCTCTTCTGCACCAGAACATCCCCACATTGATGCTGTAAGGCACGTATAAACTTTTAATCCAGTAAAAGAAGGATTATTCTTTCTTATTTAAAGCAATATCTGATTTCTTTAATTCAAAAATAAAAAATAATCGAACTTAACAAAGGAGAATAAATTTTAGTATTTGTATTTTAGTTGTATGGCACTTTCACAAAGCTCCTCATGAGGGAGCTGCAGAGATGAGCACCCACATACAGCACTTTTTTTTCCTAAAAAGCAGCCCTGTGGACACTCCCAGCTAAGCCCCAGCCATACCCGTTCAGATGGGTAGGGGTATCAAGAGGCCAGAACACAGAATAACCAATTTTCTTCTCCAACTAACCTTAAAATTGCAGAGGCTGGGAGAGACTATTAGTGTGATGAAACTGGGCTTGAACGAGCTCCACGCCAGCTGAGCAGAGAACAGCAGTTTTGTTGCAGAGATTTCAAAATCTGGTTTCTGTCCTCTTTGGAACAACTCTCCCCAGATTGCAATTTCCAGTGGAAGCGAGGTTTCCATAGCACCAGCTCTAGGGGAATTCCCATTGGGAATCCCAGGAGCAGCAGCCCTTGGTCAGTCCCCTGGCACCACGTGGGCTGCCTGCCCAACAGGGCAACGGGTCTGGTGACGAGCCAGGTTTTCCTGCTGCTTCCAAATGGAAGAGCTGGCAGAAAAGCCTAATTTTCCTTGGACAGGAGAGTGCTCAGCAGCTGGTGGAGTGTCACCAAAAAAACAAGAGCGTCTAAGTTGCAAACTGTAAAAATGAGAAAACACTTAAAATTTTCTGGAATTTGGTGGTTACTGAGTAACTACATACGTATATGCAGAGCAATTTAAAAAGGTATCACAAAAGCTTCTCTGTATCGGGGTTGCGATGCAGTAACACGGTTAGCACTGGTTGACACGGAGCTAAGCCAGGCCCCCACGGCTGACGCCAACACACGATCCCATGTGCAAAGGGGTGGCCACGACCCCAAGAGACCAGCCCAGCCGTGGGGTGAATCCCTCCTGCTAGGGCAGGACGTTACCTTGTGAGAGCCAAAACCTGCGACGGGGCAGCAGCGCTGGGGACACTCACAGGCAAGTCCAAGGTGCCACCTCCAGCTGGAAGCTGCAGCTGTAATTCAGCATTTGCACCTTCTCCCTTCTGAACAAGCTTCCCTTCTTTGTAGGTGACTAATGGTTGTTTTAATTGGGCAAGAAATTCAAGAGGGAATTCCACGTAAACGGCCAAGCTCCCAAAGGTGAGACATTTCCTTAGCGCTTTTTCCTTCTCTTGACAACGTCCACTGCGTCTTGGGCAGCCAGGCAATTAAAGGCAAAAGGAGGGGAGGAAGAAGTTAAAAAGAAATGCTAAAAATATATATGTAAGAACACAGTATGAGAAAGGTTAACGCAACTAATTTTCTTCCAAAAGCTTCAAGAAAAAATAGGGTTTCTTTACTAAACCGCCTTAGAAATAAAAAGTGGTTTCAGAGAATGTGCAGTTTAACCTCACTGTAAAATAAAGTGACATTTGTAAAAGCGCCTTGTAAAAACGCTACACAACAATTTTCTATTAGGAGTTTCCAAGGCCAGAATTCACCCTTGAGGAAAAACAAAACCCACGCACACACCTTAAACCAACTTTGTGACTTTTATTGATGGGCGACAACTTTATACTTCTAGATATCACTAAACTGTGTACAATTAGGAACTCAACATTATAGGAGAGCAGACAGCAAAATTAAACAAAGCAGACTTAAAGAAATATCAATCTTAATTATTTTGCCCATTTTTAATTTCATGTACACAGAAGCGTAAATGCAGTTTGAAATTTCTTAATAGCAATAAAGTTACAATCACCCATCTATATAGACTAACATCTTAACTCCAAATATTTGATCTGCAATGTGTACTTAAGCAGTTTCTCATCGCACAATTATTAAAATGTGTCTTCCTATCAGGAACCAGCAACTCTGCATTTTGTACGTTTGTACATTTTTTGAAGCACATAGGACCATTTCCACCTCATACACATCGATCGGCTCATATTTTACCACTTATCAAAAACTATTGGGGAAGCAGAGAGCATTTTTCATTTTTTTATTTTTTTTTTATTTTTTACTTAAGTAAAGATAAAACATTTTCACAGAAATCTACAAGTTCTGTTGCTGGTGCAGGGTTTTCTTCTACTACGCAATTAGAAAGTGGAAAGCGAATGCAAATCCCCTTTTATTATCTTAGGATTCAGCATTAACTCAGATTTTTTTTTTCTTTTTTTCTTTTTGTGATTCGCGAGACTCGAGTCCTTCAACCCAACGCCTTCATTCTGCCAAGTCAAAAGCCTACACAAACTATGCTGTGCACAAACCCAAGGTAGCTTCCTTTTTCGCTCTATCCCGTAGCTGCGAGGGAAGAAAAAAAAAGAAAAGGAAAGAAAAAAAACGAAAGAGAAGGATTCACTCAAAAGAGCATGTGGAGGAGGAGGAGTTGGTGACAGCGGGCGCTCTACGAAGCGGGGCCGCGCGCGCGGCGGGGTCACAGCAGGTCCACTCGGCGGTAGTACAGGAGGTAGGCTGTGCGTTCGGCCGACGGCTTCACCACCTGGTACTGGTTGATCACCTTGACCGCCTGGTCGTCGATGCGCAACCAGCCGTTCAGCCCGATTTGGAAGACGTCCGTAGTGTAGTGGCCACCGGTCGCGCTGTTCCCGTGGTGATAGACAACTGCAACGACAAGGTCGTCATGGGGAGACGCAGTGCTGGACACAAACGTTTTTAGCACAATTTACCTTAATTAGTAACTTCTTAGTATAATATTTGAGTGTAATTTGAATTAAGCCGAGTAGAAAATACGATAGCTAGAGTTTGGGAACTTATGAAGTAGATGTCAGGGCAGCCGACATTTTCAACTACTGATGTTCTAGTGTTTTATTCACTGTAAGATTAGCAAGTCCTGGGTGATATCAGGAACTTAATTAGTCAAAAGTTTGCATTAATAATTTAGAATTCATCCCAAAAGCTCAGTTCTGTGGATGAGAAATGCTAGATTGACAGAACATTAAAGCATCATACTTTTCCACAGACGGAGTCAGGAAAAAAAAACAGAGGTTAACAAATTTGCGTCAAAATGCCTTATATATACCCTCCAAATCTGCCCTGTGAAACTCACTATCAGCAAGAAAATTATTCTGCCAGAAACTGTCCTGAATTTCCAGAGACAGGTACATTACTGCCTTCTGTAACCTCAGCAGTCACAAAACTGGATCCAAACCACCAAGTCATGTAAGGCCACAGGTACTGGCACAGATTCACTGGCATAAAAAATAAGATTTCCAGTTCTCCAGTTCATTATATTGCTCTGATGCCAACACAAATAAGCAGGTGTAAAGCCCAAACTGTGTATGACTCTAGGAAATTAACTCCTGCCCAGATACTGTTTTCTTCAATATTAAAATGCTTCTTTAAAATTCCTGCACCAGTTTCCAGACTTAACTAGCAATTCGGGTCTTTCATATACATTGCAAATACTCTCTTAAAAACATCGTTTTCTCACACAAAAATAATCATCCCCAAATGAACCTTTCCACCCACAACGTGCTATTCATGCACAGCCAGCAGGTCTCATCTTGAAGGTTCAAAAGAGGTGCAAAGCCAGAGTCCAAACAGCCATTTCAAAAGACACCCGAAACATTTATCCTGAGTAGTTGATGCCTAATTATATTATGGCTATGTTCCAGCTTCTGCTAATATTTTTCAGGATGGATATCCTACAGAACTGTGTTTTCTTTGAGTTTTAAACTTGAAAAAGTAATATATAAACACATTGTATTACATATATTTGTACGTAGATATGCAGAATAAACACTGTATGCAAGAATAACACCCACGAGTTATTGCACTCCAGGGAACTCCAAAGATTCTAAAAATCTCTGCATGCAGAAATTGCTTTGTAATACAGGAACCAGAAGCACATGTAAAATACCTGCAAAGAGCCGGTAGGTTCTTTGGCCTTTAAAAATTTTACTCTTCACACCAGGAGATAGTAGCTCTGGAGGAGGGAAGAGACACAAAGACAACAGTCAGCAAGTTTAGAAATTCAACAGGGATCAAGTCTTTCTAACAGAAACCAAGAGTAACGAATGAGAAAGTTTAATTGAAGCGACTTCTGTAACCTGTACAGAACTGTCAAATTTACCTGAGCAAAAACGCTTATGAAAGTGTTTAGAACTACTGAGAAAAAAAAAATCCCGAAAAAACGAGAGCAAAAGATCAGGCTTTTTGTCTTTTCCTCCTTTCGCTCCTACTGCCAGATGACAACAAAAACAATTTCAGGTTCCAAGCCTTGTAACAACTGTTTCTGTCAATTAAGGTAGATTAAACTTCTTGTCATTCTTCAGAAGACAGAGAGTATTAAGTAAAATAAATGGGTACTATCTGATGAAACCACATCTGCTTGAGGTGTAACTAAACTTTGCCAAACAAAGCATTCAAGACATTAATCCCAATTACTAAGTTTCTAGAAAAAACCTCCATGAAGAAGTTTCTTGTGCACAAACCTGGGTGCTGGGGAAGAGAACTGAAACAGGATACTCACACAGATACTCCCTGGGATATGTAACATTCCTGTCCCCCAAAACAGGGAAAATTTCAACTTAAACATTTTTACCTTTACTAATTTCCAGATCAACAGGATACTCAATATTCTTGATAAGCTTCTGACACCCACCAGTCTTCTCATACACAAATCGCTTAAGGTGTAACACGAGAACGGGAGGGAGTTCCTCTAATGTCACTCGTCGACTGATCTCCACCTAACAGAGAGCAAAGATGAGGGGAAATTATTATTTAACCACTCAAAATGACTCAAAAGGTCAACGCAAAAAGAAGAATCCCCAGTGCAGAGCAAGGAATGGGAGGATGCTGGGACATTTCTGCAGTGGCTTAAGCAGGTCCTGTTCTCCTCCCTCAGTAATGAAGCTGGCAGCACATGGGGACACAGAGCTGCCCCCCTGCTGCATTGCACATCAGTGCGGTCCTGCCCTCTCCTGAAAGATGAAAGATTTCAGGATTTAACAGATCAATCTGCAAGACCATAAAGAAGTAGAACCACTTTTTTCAAATGCCAGTGAGCAAGTGAGATTGATCCAGACACCAGTTTCACTCTAAACATCCATTCCTATTTAAAAACATTACAATCAGATGTACTGCTATATGAAAAATTCAAAATCTTAGTGAATTTTATGTTAAAAAGACTCCTGAAAAATATCCAGCAAAATACTTCACATATTTGGAGGATTACTTTTTTCCGTATCTGTTTCCAAGGCCCATCACTCGTAAAGCATGCAATTCAGACTAAACAAAATCAGAAGACAGTAAAATTTGAAAGGTTTTGAACGCAATAATAAAATTGTACACAAAAGTGTACTAAAAGAATCAAAAAAATAGAAGGGGTGAGTCTAATATCTCTTCATTCAACAACTTATGTTCTTAAGATGAAATGCTTCCTGAGAGTAAAATTACTATCTGTAAAGTTCCTACGCTTGCCCTACAGTCATTATGTTCAGTGTTTTCACTTCAAACTGTAATACAAGAACTGCTACTTTTGACTTGAAGTGCTTTTGAATAAAAGATCTAAAATACATTGTGCATGCTTATACTTCCACCCAGACGCTAAAATATAAACCAGACCAAACCTCGAGCACCTAAATTGAACACCCATTTCTTCCAAAGCCCATAATTGAACACTGAGTTGTCAGCAGAGAGATAAAACCATCTGCAGCAAAAACCAAAAAAATGAATGACCAGCACAACAAAATCCATGTGGTAAATCATGATGACCTTGCACTGCAAACATTTCTTCCACATGGAAAACAACCGGGGAATCGTTCCCTCATACTCATTCCTACTGGGCATATAAAGCAGGCAAACTGCAGCTACTGGAACATAAGGAAGAACCAGGAGCGTGAGGAGCACTGTAACAGGTTGCCCAGGGAGGCTGTGGAGTCCTTATCCTTGGAGATATCCAAAAGCCACCTGGACAGACCCTGGGCAAGACGCTCCAGGAGACCCTGCTTGGGCAGGTATTTATTTGTAAGCTAAGATGCGCATTAAGAAAAAAAAAGTAAAATTTTTTATTTCTGACTATAAAAAGCAGTCAATAAAACACACCTCTTGCTTGGTTTTGGTGGTATAGCCTTGAACAGACTCTCTTGCCACCAAACTTTCCAACGCATCCTGAACCGTGCGTATCTTGTCAGACTGGATATCCAGTTGCAGGGTGAAGAAAGGCTGCAGTGTAGCAGATTCCTTAGAGCTCTGCTGATAAACAACAGATCTGTGGAGATAAAATGATTAAAAAGAGTAATTTTAAATATAGAACCTTCAAGTAAGTACAGATCGAAGTGTAACACAATTTACAGTTAACTGAAAGCAGAAACACACACAAACATAAAACTGTTATGTATGAATTTTAGCAGTTTGAACCCCCTTTACTGCAAGTAAAATGGTCCTCACATCTATTAACCACATACAGAAAAAGATTATATATAAATTGGTTTATTTATGGAAGGATTAAGACATTTATTGGATAAGCAAATATTAAAAACAATGCTCAAATCTGTGGTCATGCATTTAAAGAGATTTACCTCAGGACTCTGCTTGCCCCATAGCAGAGAGTAACAAAGAAATCTGAAAGTGCTCATGAAAATGCACGAAGCGAGTAATGGAAATGAAATTAACCTGCTACAAATTAGAACAAAAGGCAAATGTAACATTTAATCATTAACGTTCCTGAATTTCTATCTTGAGCCTTCAGAGAGTTTTATTTATTTTTTTAAAAGAAAGCTAAAATCTATGTATTTCACAGCAGAGTACAGTACAAACCCAATTCTGTAAAAATAAATAAGTGAAAAGTGAAAAAGTTCATATTAAAAAGCCACTTAAGTTACCCCAGGTGTACAGCAAGGTTTGATAAAAATAAAGGCTTTAAAATAAAATTCATGCTATACTTAACTGCCATCTCAGCTTGGCAACTGTAATATTTTTCTATGCTGCTAAACCACAAAATACTTGTTTTGTGGAGCATAAACTCTTTTGGGAAAGACGTCTGGAAACTGGATGGTTTCGCTGCAAGGCACAGAACACTTATACAGAAATCCAAAACGATGATTCCTTTCATTTTAAATCATCTGTGATCATGCTGGATTTCTGCAGCTGTTATGGATGGTCAGCAATGCTATCTACTAATGTTTATCTGGGTGGTTATTTTACTGCAACAGTTTCAAACAAGTCCTGGTTCTCCCAATGAAATACTCAGATTTTCAGTGTTTCATAAGACCACTGTCACAGAGCGCTTTTAAATTGTTGGTTTTAACACTACCATAGGAAATTTAAACTATGCTCTGTCCAGGACTGGCATTTCCTTTTCTCCCCATCATTTTCTGCGCCCAGACTTTGTCCCTCCGCTCTTCTGTCTGGACATAAATTGGAGGCTTTTGTAAAAGCAGCATGGTAAAGTCCTGCAGCATGAGAACACACTTCCCATTTTTTTATTTAGGAACTTTAACCATTTTTAGCCTCTAAATAGTACTGCTTTGCAAGATGAGTGCACCCTTCAGCAGTGCAGTGACGTTGTGGCTAAGCAGACTTTTATTGATTTCAGCCCTCTGAAAATTTATTGAAAACTTAAAACAAGCAAGTATAGCCGAGTAATTTTTTATTTTGAAAGCAATCCTTTTGTTAAAAAGGCCCGGTTGTTTCAACAAAACGGGTTTATAGAGCCAAATATATCATTGCTTCCTTGTATTGTTTAGTGCCTGACTGTACCTCAAAGCTTTGGAGTAGGGAGCTGTAACTCAGGTAGCCATAAGGAAATTTCTCAGGATCACATATGGAAAGTCGACATACAAGTTTAATGCCTGTACTGCAAACTTCTTGTAAAATAACTATGATTCAAGCAACACCCTGAACACCATAAAGTTGTACACCCTATACTGGCAAATACATATCTTTTAGAGGAAAGGGCCTATAAAAACAGTGGCAAACAGCCTTCTCGGCTATATCTAAGGACAAAACCTTCCACACATGCCAAGCACAATGTTTCAGTAAATAAAACCTCTACTGCATAAAACTTGCTCATTTTGTATACATTTCCAAATATCCTTAAGCTAACTATCATTTAAAATTCTAATCAAAAGAAACTGTTTTGAAGGTCATACACTAAAGATTTAGTTAATAATATGAATTAGGCTCTCATAAGCTAATACTAACGAAAAAATATATTTCCTTAAATAAGGACTTTGAATTTAGATTGTAACATGTCTTCAAAAGATGCACAGAAATTGATGCGATAGCAATAGCTTTGCAAGACTGGCTCTGTATAACAAAGTTACTGCTTAGATTTACAAGCTGCTTTTAGTCAGAGGAAAATGTATTATTTCCATAATCACAATTAGTTTCAGGTACTGTAGGAATTCTGCTTCATTACAGATCTGTGATAGTTAAGTTTTCAAGAAAACGTATGGTAGTCATTACATGTTGGGTGATGCTTAAATTGCAACACTAGAATGAACTGACAGTGAAAGAGATACAGGGCATGCTGAGAAATCCACTCTTATTTCCTCAAAGCCAAATGCTGCCCAAATACAAAGACACACTTGATTAATTTTCTTAATAAAAAAATTAAATAAAACATTGTGTTTGAAGAGTCAGAGGTAGTTATGGAAATATTTAGCAGAATAACTGGACTGTGAGCTACACTGGGTAACCATTACTTGAAATTCACAC